ATCCCACCTAACCGTGCAGGCACTTGTTTCTGAAATATATTTTTTTAAATTCATTTGTATCTTATGGCCGGGTTAAAAATTATATTCGAGGTAACACTCAACAGGTTATGGATTGGTACATGCAAGTATATTGTTACAAACCCTGTTATATATAAACATTACTTTACACCGTATTTGGTATAAAGTAAAATATCTAACTTGCAAACTCCAAAGTCCAGTCCAGGGATCGACACTAACTTTAAAACCATAGTTGTCAGCAGGGCTAGTAATTTCTAATTTCTACTAGCCCTGTTCATGTATTAGTTGTCCAGCAGCCAAAGGCTGCTGGCCGAGTCGCGAAGCGACGAGGGGGGTAGGTGCGGGAGGGGGTTTCCCCCTCCTGCTGGTGGGGATACGGAAAATTTTGAAAATAGAGATGCGAAATCCTGCATTCTGGCTGAATTTTGGGTGTAAATTATATGTCACTCTATGATTGTACCTAAGACATTTTTACTGTTCGAAAAATTCTATATTTATATCATTTAGGATATTTTGAATCACCTTTAAAGTTTACATTTTTGACTTAAAAAAATTATAATTATGCTGATAAAACATATTTGAAAATAAATTTAACAATTATCAGGTATATTGTATGTAAATTGTAATAATTTTTCTTGCTTTTAGTGAGTAATTGGTAAAATTTACTGTAGCCCTGCAGGGCAAGTTTAAAGACATGTTTGGTAGCCCGACCTCAATATTCAGATGTCCCGGGCCAGCGGGCTAGCGTTAGTGTCGAACCCTGCAGTCTAGACGAACTTCAAAAACGGCGTGAACTCCAAAAAAGAAGTCTTTGGCTCCGTCATGCATTGCGGCAAAATGGCGTCCGTTGTAAACAAACGATGGATTGTCGTTCGCTTTCTCCACAAATACGACCGAAAAATGGCTGTATTTAGTAAACTGTGACTGGATTTTAATTTTTGTTGAATAAATAATTGCACTTATTAAATCATTTAGTAGTTATTGACTTATTTATCGCTCCGTATTCTTGCATAATAGTGATTTGGGATATACGACATCGGATTCAATAAAGTCGGTAAGAATTAATTTCTTAACTTAATTTAGTGTCCCCTTGATTTAAATTTTATGCCATTCCTACTATAAAGATGCTTAAATTTTACTTTCAAGACACTTAGATCGTATTTATTTTATTTAAAAAAAAAAACGCACAATTTTCGCGGCGGAGCAGAGATACTAACAGGTTCGTTTTGAGAAAGATTTTTTTTACCGTAATTTTAAAAGAATGATTTTTAAAGTTCTTAAACTGTAAGATTATAATTCTAAAAATGTTTTCAGGATAATATCTGTTCATATGTGATAACAATTAGGTTAATAGCGATTGTGATAACTTACGCTCTCAATTCAGATGTCATACAGGATTATATGACGAAATAATATTATGAATGGGTAAAATTCAGTCAATGTTTAACCCATGCAGTTACAACATATATTATTCAATTTTACAATTACATATTTTTCCCTTTTATCATGCATATATATTTAATTCCCAAACGCAGTCTACGCGAAAGTTAAAAATTTTTACAGGACAAAATGTCTGGTAAAAATAAAAATTTTACCAGACCAAACAATTTCTTGCCAGACCAACATTTTTTTCCTTAAAATAAATCCATACATCATTATGATACTGAGATTGAGAGGGTGGGTGGGATGGGGTTAATTCTCACTGTGAAATTTAAGCATAAATAAATTCAGAGTGAAATAGACAAGTTAACTATTTATAATTTTTCTTTGTAAAAGGTATCTATTAATGCAATTGCATGCATTTTTTTCATATTTGACTTATACAACATACACTGTATCAAAGATTTTCTTTATAAAATTTAATATGCACTTTCAGTGTATATTTATTTTTTCCTGAAACAATTCATTATGGTTACTCAAGTTCAATGATCATTTAAAATAATTTCCCAACCGAATCTACGTATGAGCTATCTAAATATTTCCCCAACCAAAACTACGTATGAGCTATCTAAAGATCTCTAGTCATTGACAGAGGAAATTCAAATTAGAATAAAAACGATCATGACAGGGTTGTAATACATAAAAATTAATCAGGTATTACTTCTAAATTGGTCAAATAAAGGATATTTGTGGGGAATTTGACCATGTGTACCTCTTAATTTAGATTTATTTGGCCTTAATTTTTATCGGACATTTGGCCTGTATACTGAATTTTTTTACCTACCCGACCTAAATTTTACCGGTAAAAACCGACGGTCCGGTGACTTTCGCATAGACTGCAAACGTTTAATTTTCTTTGTAATTGAATCTAACTTGAAACATGATTTTTTTGCAAATAAAACAATAAATCTAATAAATACGATCTCTTCAGCAATAGAGGAAATGTACGTGGAAACTGAATGGATTCTCATGTAACTGTCACCTTATTTGATATTAAAACCATCAATTCAGTACTTTTTAAATTATTGGTAAGATGTATTTACAATGTGGTTGCTCATCACTGCTCTGAAGATGCTAAATTCATTCGTACACGATAGACATGAAAGACAGAGGAAATTCGAACAATTGAAAATTCGCCAGTGTCCCTTACTTACAAAAAATCAAATAAAATCAGTAAAAGTAGTTCTAAAATGACTCACTTAGTCACTGCAAACAAATTATCAATCACAGAGATGTTTTCATAAGATTAAGACTGTTTAATTTGTATTTTGTATCCTACTTGTACGAGGTCTGGCTGAAGCTCGAAGTTGGTCAACTTTGACTTGCAATTAAAAACTATTTGCACATGAAATCAAAATTCTAACAAATACGTTCTCTAAAAACATTTATTATTAATCATTTCTGAGAACTTACATTATGTAAGGTAATCCAATATTTTGCAAAAGCACTTTTCATTTGAGCCCACTTTTCACGATTTTTCACCGTTTTTTGATATAACTGCGAATGCATGGATCGTTTTTTGGAGTCTTTTCTGGACTGAAATTCTCACTTCCGTTAACACCGTTTTTGGAGTTCGTCTAGACTGTAGTCATGCTCTAAAATGTTTATTATCAGATACCTTTTTTTTCTACTTTTGGTTTTAATCAAACGATCTCTCTGATTGTTTCTAATATCATTTAATTTACCAATGTAATCACGTCTGAATACACTTCGAGGAAAGAGAGTAAAAAATCAATGAAATATGTGTAACGGGACCCAGGTCTTGGTTCGAGAGATAGAGAGTTTCGAGAGATAGAAGTTTAAGAGACCAGGAGTAAATTTGCTTAGTTATATAGAGGGAAATTTCAAAAAACGGGACCGTAGTTTCACTTCAAGAGATCGAGAACTTCGAGAGATCGGAGTTTGAGCCATCGAGAGTCACCTGTATAATTAAATCTATCATGAAGGTACGAATGGGAGATGTGCAAAACCACAACTAGGATACTAGTAACTTGTGAAAATATAAGATTTGTACCATATTCACAATAGTCTGCACTGAATCAGTAATCTATAAACATGTTTGCCTAGGCAGGCACGGTTCCAGGAAATTTTTCCTGGGGGGAGTCTACCATGTTTACATACCCCGGTCCAAAAAAAAAAAATCTTAAAATCCAGAAATTTCATGACAGTGACAAGCAAAAGACAAACAACAACAAAAAACAAACAATAAACATAAAAGATAGACTCCTTTCCAAACGTGAAAAAACCTGAATATCTAGAACAGACTGACAGATTCGGCCAGATGTGAGATCAAGTGATGTGCCCCCCCCCCTTACTTTACATGCCTATTCCAAGGATATTGGTTCCAAAAAAATACTATAAAAAGGCCTATTGGTGTCATAAAGGCCCTAAATCAATTGGTTTACAATAATTCTCTTACTTTCGTCAGGTCTTTCACTTCGTGTTTCCCGCCATATGGTGGCAGAGGATAGTTTCGAATAAAGTACCGTCAAAAATAGAAAAAATAGAGAAACCTGAGGTTTGAATGCATATTATAGGTAATTTTATAGCTAGAATATTTTATGGGTGCATTTGGAGGGAATTGGTGGCCTTGTATATTTTATTGAAATATGACACTTTAGTGTCACTACTACTGTATATGGGATATGGACTAGAAATACGAAACTAAGCTCAAAACTCGCTCTACCGGTATTTCACCAGAAAAGCGGGGTGGGTTCACAGGATGAATTGTAGCTTTGAAAACGAGGTGGTTGAGCCATTATCTCTTGCTGTTCATTGGTATGTACAAATGTTATTCTGCAATTTGTATGGTAGCTTAGGTCAGGCGCACGGGCCTGGAAACAGATGCGGCTGCGGCGAAATAGTGAAAATAGGCTTGATTCACATGAAATTTTGAGATTGTCCCTGCGCCATCTTTAGGGCTCATTGTGTAAGTTGTACATGTTTTATTCCTAAAAGCTTCAAATTTCTCAAGGGACTACATCATACTATTATTACATGTAGAGGGAATTTAAAAGTTTTCAATGCACATTTTTAAAGCAGCTCAATATTAAGTAAACCGTCAGTCAAACGTTTTGATTGCAAAAAAAACTATCCTCTGCCACCTATTGTAGAAGATTAATTTAGTTAGGACGTCCATAATATTAGTCGCATTGATACAATCAACCACTTCACGGACTATGCCACTGTATATCGCGGCGCCTGTCGATATGTTTTGCAAAATCAGCGTATGCATCATTGCATGCCATGGATTATTAACAATTGCGTGTCATGTCGTTATATATTCACGTCTTAAATTCAAAGGTTACGATTGTAAGTGGCACATTGCATTGCGGCTAGCCTACAGTCCTAAAGACGTGGAGTAAACTAATTACGATACGTCTTATTTTTATATGATGAAAACAATTCACGTTACATTACCAACCAAACCACTGAAAAATCTAATCAGTCTTACCCATCTCAAACATCCTTTATGGACATGGAGCGCAGTTTGAATACTGTGAATTCATTTATAACGTTATAATACATGTACATGTACTTACCAACTGTAAAAAATAAAATCAAAAGGCAGCTTATCACTGAAAACACCTCCATATTCTTTCGATTTATATTTGTCATTCAAAATCAGCCATTTTATATTTGAAAATTTGGCGTTTTAAACATTCAGAAGAAAGAAAATTTTTCATTGGTCACTGTGTTATAATTACGCCGACGCGCACGAGCTGAATAATCATCACATGTGACAAATTTTGGCGCCATATATAAATTTGGCCATGCTCTCTTCGCCGTTGGTCGGAAAACAAAAATATTTCAGCACACTAAAAATATTTCAGCACACTGAATATTCGTGTTCGTAACATATATTCGTGACAAAATTATGCCGGTGAACTATTATTGCCAATGTCCATTTTCGTCCGTTGGGCACCGTGTATAAAGGAGACGACCATTTATTTTGGGAGGATAGCAATTTTTTTTCAGAGTCAGATTTTTAGCTCTCGAATAGGCTTACTGGTCATAGTCAGCGAATGAGATAGAAATCAATTTCTACTTCGTGTGATAGGCTTAATAAATGAATTACTTTTTTAGCTCTACTACTTGAGAATGCCTCGATATCGATATGATACGAAAGCTCGTTGTCGTAGGTTAAAAAAATAAAATTTTTCGTGTTATAATGCGAAAGTTTCGCGATATAACGCGTAACTTCCGCGATATAACGCGTATCTTTCGCGTTATAACGCGAAACTTCCGCGAATAAATGCGTAACTTTCGCGTTATTTCGTGAAATATTATGCATATATAATAATGTTACTCAGGAACCTTGATCTTGACTGACAGATAAGAACATGAACACAGACGGGAACTCCCAGGAACTTATTTATAGAATATCATTTCCTCAGAAGATGTTCTGGAGAAATGATTAGTCATCAGAATTTTTTTTTTTCTTTTTTAAAACCTTACCAATCAATGAAATGAAGTTTTTTTTCTTGTACATGTTTTTCTTGTTAAATTCAAGAAATTCTTGAGACAGATGATTTTTTAAAAGAAAACTCTCCACTTGACACTTTTTTCAAGCTGTTTTTTAATCAGTAATACGTACAACAACTGTACCACTAGTAAATTAAGCAATCAATCATTTTGGACTAAAAAATTTACTCTGCAGAAACATAACTTAAAAGTGAATGAACAGTGTATCATATCATGAGCTTAACGGGCCATATGATGCTGTTTAAATCACAATTTTATAATTGGATGTTGTTAATTACGAATTTATCCGAGGGGTTATAGAGAAGTTCGTGGACTAGGGTCATAAATCAAAACTATTAAGGTATATACAGCAGAGTTTGTACACTTTAATTAATTGTCAATGTTTTCGTAAGCAATGGAATGACAACGTGGCGCAACCTCAAAATACGATATCGTATTTCTACAGTGAATCCAACGCAGACAAAAGAAAATCTTGCTATCCATTTTTAGCCGGGCTTATTGCTCAAAGAGCAATTGCCAGCTTATGTGATCCTGTTCAAGGCAGGATGTTGACCCCATAGTCGCCATTTTAAAGTTACGTGCAAAAATATAGTTCTTACTCTCAACCGCTTTTGAGATAATACAAACGCTAAATAAAGCAACAAAAATAAAACGAAGTTTTATCTATATAAAATAAACATTAGTAGTAATGACTTTGAAAACTTCATAAGTCAAAGAACATAGTTCATTAGCGTAAGGATTTTTGATAATCAGTGTTACCGTAGTTCTCTACTCAATCGAGGTAAAGCAGGAGAGGGAACCAGACTGGCCTGTTTGTTTACATTCAGCTGCGGTACCAGATTAATTCTGATTCTGACAAAATCGGACCGTGGTATTAGGATTGAAAAACTCACTGTCAGTGTCTTATCATTTATATTGATAGTTTTAAAATAATTTTTTCATCAGAATATAAACGTGATTCATGTAAGAAATCCATTCTACTCTGTAAATGAGCCCGGCTCTCTGTACTTCTGAGTACTTTGATTCACAAATGTGGTGGGACACCGACAAATTTGCCTCATTTTGTCAATTTTCTGAAATCATGATCTCTATCAAATAAAATTATTTCAAATTCTCTAGAGAGTGCATAACAAAGACGCCGAAAAGGGTGGTTTTCCCCGAAATTCATAATCTTGATAAAAATAATTCGGATTGAAGTTTAATTTTGGGAAAACTCGCATAAACTTTGAATTGTTTGAAAAGCGCTGAGAAAGACCAAATATGACGGTAAAGATGGATACATAGTAAGAAAACTTAAAAATTGTAGCTTGTGATAGTTCAAGATTAAAATAGCCTTTTGCTTATCATTATAGTAAATAAACAGAAATAAGTGTCACAAAATCAAAAGACAGTAGGCCTATAGAGACTTAAGCTATCTTGGTTAAACAGCAAAAGTTTTGCGTTATATAACGCGAAAGTTACGCGTTTATTCGCAAAAGTTTCGCGTTATATCGCGAAAGTTTCGCGTTGTAGCGCGAAAAATTAATTTTTTTTAACCCACGAAAATGAGCTCAATGGATTTCGTAATATAGCATGTAACTTTGCTGTTCTTGTGAAAAAGATTTTAAAAGATTTTGAACGATTTTTTATGCCCCCCTTCGAAGAGGGCATATTGCTTTAATTGTTGCTGTCTGTCGGTCGGTCTACCATAGTTTCCGTTCATTATACGCGCCCCACGCTTGAAAAGTGGGAGGGTATTATAGTAATTGGGATGTCCGTCCGTCTGTCTGTACGTCTAGCTTCTGTCCGTCCGTCCGTTTGTTACGCTTTAAGGTACCTAGCTATCTCTTATCCGCAACTCCTCTTTTACCACTGAATTAAATTTAATGAGACTTTCACAGAATCTTTGTTATACATTGCCATTGTGCACCTTTTACTTTTTGATCGGACACATATTTTGGGTTTTCCAGAGCAAAACATTGACACTGTCATTTTTTCTATAATATTGAAGGGTACCCATCTTTTACCAGCACATCCTCCTTATACCACTAAATAAAATTTAATGATACTTTCACATATTTGTTATTACATAATGACACTGTGACCTCCTATTTTACTTCTTTTACTACTTATTTCGGGACTCTAAGAGTAAAAAAAGGACTTTGTCATAATCATATGGGATGCGGGGGGGGGGGGGTACCTCTAGTTTTCCTTGCAGATATTGCACATATTGAAATGAAATTTCATATACTAATACATAATTATTTATCATAAGAGTATCTAGGTCAAGTTCTGTTTTGGGTCCTATCGAGCTATTTTGGACAGAGTTATGCCTCTTGGATTTAGAAAAATTTCAATTATTTGGGGGAGGGGGCATCAGTGTTTTACAAACATCTCTTCTATTACTGTGTAAAAACTTGATCCCCCATTGTGGCCCCTCCCTACCCCCAAGAGTCATGATTTCAACAAATTTAAATCTTCATTACACGATGATGCTTATATGTCAATATGACTAAACATAGCTTTTCTCTTCTTGAGTAGAAGATTTTTTTCCCCTCTTTTTTCTTATGTAAAATTTGAACCACCATCGTGGCGCCACCCTATAACCTTCCGGGTTATAGGATTTGAGCAAACCTGAATCTACACTATCTGAGGATGCTTCCATATTATAAATATCACCAATCATAGCTTTGCTGTTCTTGAGAAAAAGATTTTTTACGATTTTATCTATATAATTCCATGTAAAACTTTGATCCCTATTATGGCCCTATCCTACCTCTGGCGGTCATAATTTGAACAATCTTGAATCTACAATAACTAAGAATGCGTCCATGTAAATTTCACCGATCATTGCTTTTGAGAAGAAGCTATTTAAAAGACTTTCCCCACCCTATCCACAGGGGTCATGATTTGAAATAACTTGAATCTATACTACTAGGATGCTTCCATATAAATAAGACCAGTCATGCAAGGCACATATTTATGGCATATTGTCGCAAATATGAACGATCTGTTCATATGAAAAGTAATCACCAAATTTTTTTTTTTTTGAAAATTGGGTCAAACATATCAAGGTCAAAGGGTAAAAAATCATAGCATGCATGCAAACATCTTGTCATATGTAATACACATATCAGATATGAAAGTTATAATGAAAAATACCATTTGTGAGAAGTGGGATAAAATTCAATGTCATAAGGTCAAAAATCAAAGTAAATTTAGAAAAGCTTTGTCACAGGTAATTAATGTACATGTACAATACGAAAGCCCTATCTTTTCTGATTGAAAAGTTATCATAACCAATTTAAATTGATGTTAAGATTTTTGAAAAGTATGTTAAACTTTAGGGTCAAAGTCACAGGATTAAAAAAAATCAGAGTATATACGGAAAGGTCTTGCCACAGGTAATGTACATGTGAAATATGAAATCCCTATCCTTTCTGTTTCAAAAGATATGACCAAAGTTCAAGTTTTTCTGACAGAAGGACACAGGGAAAGACTGACAGATGCATGAAATTTAATGTCACTCCGCCTTCGCAAAAGCGGGAGACAATAATTTGAATGTGACCTTGGAACCTTATGTCATGGATACGAGGGCTGACTTGGTAATCACCGCCATTATGTGATATCACCTTGGCCTATAGGTGATATACCATTACTTCAAATAATAGGTGATATCATCTACTTAAATAAGTAACTAAGTAAATAAAAGTTACTAAGGAAATCACCTACATGTATTCATTTACAAAAGAAGATAACATAAATTCGATGACATCGCCTATTCAAATAAGTGCTATATCACCTATTTTAATAATTTGAATGAGGAAATAACATATGCAAATAGGTAATATCACCTATTCAAATAAGTAATATCCCTAAATGTCAATAAAATATCAAAACGACGCCTCATACATCGGTTCTAGTTTTAAAGTTGCGAGTCGAATACTGCATGTATACAGGGGAAATTTCGCCCCCGTTTTATTTTCGCCCCTGTCACAACTGGGCGAATTTAAAACGGAGTGAAATCAAAGAACCCAGCTTAATCTCTTAAACAGAATTTTGAATGGGCGAATTTAAAATGGGGGGAAATTGTTTACAAGTACAAGAGGGCGAAAATAACCCTTTAGTACAGGTCCGTGTATAAAGCATGCAAAAGGGTGATAAATAAAGGTTCTCAGGTACGTCAAATGAAAATTTTGATTTATGCATGGTAAGCATGGAAACATGGATAAAGAAATTTCCATAGGAACCATCCAATTATCAGCTTGGATGGATGCTCATCTTTCAGGCTGGAAATAAATGTGAATACTAAAAGATTCTCTTTATATGCACCCATAATCGAAGACTCGGGGGTACTGGTCGGTGTATATATAGTTTTGCCCGTTCCCCTGTTTGTCCGCAAAAAAATTTCAACGTTGCCATTGACTTTTGAGTAGGTGGTGCAATGACTTGCATATTTCACAGGTGCATGCATTCCTTGTAACAATACCTTTCTCTGGGTACCAAAAAAAATTGGACCTCTTGACATATTGACCTTCATCTTGAATTTAAAACTGTTTTTGTAATTCTAGAATAAAAGAAGTCACTGTGAACAGGGATCTACATATTGTACTTAGTATATAGGTCCCTGCTGTGAAGAACCTCACTGCCATCAAGTTATCAATCCATCAAGTCTTCTTCAACAAGGACAAGAGAAGCCTGCCTTCTTATTTGAAAATTTTAATGGCTCAACATGTACAACATCACATAAATAAGACAGCACTGTAAAATGACAAAACAGAATCTCACACTAAAATTCATAAAACAGGTCATAAAATCTGAATAAAACTAGAAAGCACACAAATCAAGATGGAAAACAAAAACAATTTACATATAACACATGGATTATAATAAATAATAATTTCATTTAGCATATTCATAAGATCAAGATCTAGTAATTGACCCCACATTTACTCTTTCTCAAGCTAACAGCTCTTAGATAAACAGAATTACATGTATGTAAAAAATAAATTAAGTATTTTGAATTTTTCATTGAATTCAATCTTATATTTTGTGAAAAGTAATCATGATACTTACACATTAAATTTAATGCTATTTTAAGGAGGAGGCTATGAACATTTACAGAATACTGTTTTCTGAGAGACTGTAGACAATATGGATACCTTTCCTTTGTCTGATAATTTTGGAAAAAAATCTCCCATAATCATAACTCAGGTTTTCTTTGTTTTCCATTAAAAATGACGGTTTAAAATACAATTTTTCATCTTTTTACCTTCCAATTATGCCCGCAAAAACTAAGCTTATTTGACAAAGCAATATAGTTAGAAAGAATCATTACAAGAATTTATTTCTCAAATCTTATAAGAAATCTGTGGAGACATCTGTCGACCCATTTACTAGATCTTGACCTTGACATAAAGATTTACCGGTGACATTCCTTAGTCCTCTGTACAATTAATCTGGCTTAACTTCTCCGCTGAAATAATTTCTATTTGTATCTTCTACGTCTTAAAAATATCCCAATATTATAAAATAAACATAACTCGGCTTTCAAAAGTCATTCCCAAAATTAAACCCATGATCATATATTTAATTTCTATTTAATAAACAGGTATCCCTTTCAAGATACAATATATAATAAGAAAATAAACCAGACCACCTCGAAAGGATGCATTTTGTGCATAAAATTTGACGTATTTGTGTTATACAAAACACAAAAGGTCAACAACAAATAATGTACATAAAATAAATTATAAAAATTAAAATAAAAGTCATAAATATAAAATAGGATTCACAGTGTTGGAATGCATTGAGATGTGGGACGGAAATTCTCTTGAAGTTTTTTTATTCACTAACATAGAAAATGCTGACAAAACTGTATGACGAAGAGTAAACTCTGGGTCATGTGCTCAATATATATGTCATGTAATTAAAAAATAAATGCATAAAACATTGATTAATTGTCACCAACTTTAACAATAACAATATCACAGTCAACATAAATTAGATCCATCTGTGGACGGGAACTTGCGGTCTAATCACTTTAAGAAGTGGAAAGTATCTTTAAATGTGATTGATAATTATCACAAATGTAAACAAACAAAAAATACACAATAATAGTTATATAAAACAAATTGAGGGTACACACAATGACACATCATTCAAATTTCAAAACTGATTAAATGAACTCTGAATTTAATATTCCCAATTGCTCAAGTTGTGCTTTCTAATGTGAAAAACAAGTGATGTAAGGACATGACTTCTTTATATGATTAAACATCAATAAAGCAACCTGACCCACAAATGACTGTAAAGCTACAGTGTCAACTCAAAATATACTAATCTGACTAAAAAAAAGAGTGAATAAATATCTGTGTGTCAACCCAGTAGTCATTAAATATCTGCACCAGGAAATCACTAAATCTACCGTATAAGTGAAAATTTTAGCTAGAGACAAATTCAGCAATTTGTCCTCCAAAATTTGTATTTGATTTCTAATGAGAAGTAATTTTAGCAATTTTAAATACTCACTTAAAAAGCAATTAAATAAAAAATGCAATTATTTTTAGTGATATTCAATTTTAACAATCCCAGCACTCTCGCTAATAATGCCAAAAATAATTTTTTTAATCCCTGCAAAAAATTCTCCATGCTTATACGGTATGTGGATTTTAGGAAATTAAATATTTTATAAAATAGACTATAGTACTAAAAAAATTTTGAACACACATTTATAATATTAAGTTAATAATTATAAGTTAATATAAACAACAATGAAATTCAGTCGGAATGTAAATTTTTGTTGTTCATTTGTGAACCAACACTTGCCATTTGTAACAAGAGCTTCCATGTTAACTATCTAACAAAGATAATGAAAATAATTGAATCAGTCACCTTATTCAAACACAATACATTTAAAGATTCAATAACTGGGAATACACAAAATATGGACTTAAAATTTTTCCAAATAGATCTGAACAACATTAAATGAGATATTATTGTGCAAAATAACTAGGAAAATTGTATCCGAAACATCGAAAGTAATACAATTTTACCTACTCTGCATGTGTGCAAGTCAACAATATTTACTTACAATAAACTTCATTTTGCTATGTACCCAAATTCAATGAACACTTCAAATAATTTTAAGTACATGTTTATAAATTCTATAATAAGAAGATTTAAAGACTCGATATGTCCCTGATTTCAACAAATCTTTAATCACAAACATAATTTGTTAACTTCGATAAAATTTAAATATGAAATGTAGTACTTTTTCAAATTTCAGTCTACTCAAGAAAATTTAATCTTTAGTATTGTGAAGATCAGCTGGTCTGCACCTTGTATGAAATACCTCGGAGTTCAGTGGGCCTTTGCATAAAATCTTCAAGGCCCATTGGCTATACTGCTCACAGTAGATCGGCTCCTACATTAGATGTTCATGGCGAGATCGGACAGCATCTGTGAATAATTTTGTTCTATACTAAGAGAAGGTAGTGTGACGGACTTGTCTCCATCGCGTAGCGTCACCAACTGGAGGGTGGTCGACCCCACCTGACCCTGCCTCGATTCCAAAGATAACTGAGGAAACAGCTTCTGAGTGACGGCGTCCACTAGGTACGGGTCGTCACCAGAAATCAGAGCCTTAGTCCCAGTCTCTCTAGGAACGGTCACCTTTCTTGGTCTAAAGAATACAAACAAAACCAGGCTTACATGAAAATCACTAACTGTGGTAATAAATTGTGCATGAATTCTGGCAGTTATAGTAATTGCACAATTCTGTTTGCTATGTAAAAATATATGTTTCATTACCTTCCCCTTTTAACCTGGGAGGAATTTTTCTTGTCTTCTGTGGCTCTTTCAAACAGATGTTTTAGGAGTAGATCTGTGTCCCCCGTGATGTACACCTTCCGCTCCGGTTGTCGCGGCTGCTTCTTGTGTCGCTCCTTGTCATCAGGCGGAGTGATGGGCCGCATATCTGTAAAAAAAACAAGACAGGTTGTCTTTGTGAAGATTTCAAGACCTGATATTAAAATATTATTTCAAATAAAACCATTTGTATTTCCTACAACTACTGTGGTATCATTAGATTTTTGTGGATTTTGAAGGTATCTCTCATCAACAATTTTACATTCTCCAAGAATTAATGACTTCGGATTATGGATCAGAGAACACATAAAATCACGTCCGCATGGGCTTATAAACTTACAGAAATCCACAAAAATTATCCCCAACAAATTTAAATGATTCCACAAGTAAGTTATGGACCATCTGAAGATTATAATTTAATAATCCATCACATAGAAATAATAGTACCCCATGTTTATTGGTTTTATTAGAGTTTTGTGTTTGTCTGTAACATTTATAAACATTCGCTATAAATAGTAAAACATGTTCTTTGATATTTTATTTTATGTATGTTAATTGTTGTATTCATGACTATTTGCCAATGTATGATGGTGTTGTCAATAAAATGAATTGAATTGAATATATATATCTCACCAGTGATATCTTCATTTGAGTCTTTAGATCCAAGGGGAGGTAATGAGGGAAATAGAGGGGCGGGAGACACAGGATTAGGAACGTTGGGCTGTTTCCAGAATGACTGTGGCAAAGCTCTCAATCTCATTGGAACGGACTCTATCATAAAATGATCATTGTTAAACACAATGGAGCCTCAACAACAATGATAGTTCTATCATAGCTAGGGCATCACAGGATTTGTGCCTTTTTAACTTGATGCATACAACCTATTTATAATGATCTGTGGCAATGCATTTTTAAACTCAAATTTATAATCTGAAAATCTTTATAGAATGCTGTCTGTACTCTGTATACTTAACTCTGAATAGATACTGATATTTTTTGAAAAAAGAAGATATCAGTTGTTGTAAATGAATTACGAGTACATTATGATTAAAGACGGGAACTCTTACTGACAACTTATCCTACATTTACCTCTCTTGGGTCGAACTTTGGGAGGAGTTGGCGCTCTCTTTTTCAGGGCAGTTTTAAAGTCAAATACAGTTGTCTTCTTCTTTTTGACTTTCTTGATTTCCTGTGCATGATGTTTAAATCCCGGTGGCCTTATGTAGACAGGCCCACTAGCCGTGCTACTCCCGCTAGGGGAGGCCGCAGGCTCATAGTCATGATCATGCTCATACGCATGCTGGATAGATGAACTACTATTTACACTGGAACGGGGCGATGGGGGTAAACTCTCCTCTTCATCACTTGACGTGACCAGAGGTCCAGATGCCCCTCGCTTAGACCCCTGCTGAGGAAATGTCACTTTTTCACTATCCAACTGTCCCTCCTCTTTTATTTCTGTTAAGGGTACATTGGCACGTCTATCTGTTTGTGAGACATTTTGAGGCTTTTCCTCCCCATCAAGACTGACTAGACTATTTGTTGTGGGAATAATTTTCTTTAATCCATAGGATTTATAAGATACTGACTCTTCGTCATTATTAAGAACAATAATATTTGATAAAGTTGATTTTTTCACACACGTTAATTTAGAATCATCGTCCAGATTTACAGCAGTCAACCCTGACGGTGCCCTCTTCCCTCCGTAAGATTTCTGTGGGTTGTTGTTACTTATAGGTAATGTCTCCTCTTCATCTGTATATGTGTGGAACCCATGCGGAGCCTTTTTCCCACCATAACATTTCTGTGGGAGAGTGTTACAGCTTATGTGCGATTCCTCTTCATCTGTATACAAGTGGAATCCATGTGGAGCTTTTTTACCCCCATATGATTTCAGAGGAATACTATTACTTATATGTGACTCCTCTTCACCCGTGTATGAGTGAAAACCGTGTGGAACCTTTTTACCTCCATAAGATTTCTGTGTTGAACTCAGGCCAAAATTTACATCTAGTAGAGGAACTTGTGCCATCTTTTTAACTGTTATCGGCTGTTGTATTTCCTTCAATAAAACAATTCATATTAACTATCCACCCATCTTACAATCGTTACATCTGAGAATTAACATGCCAATGTATTTTATACTAAACACAACATTCAGAGAATCAACTGAGTAATATAAAAAAACTTGCATCGACATGTTCAATGTTCTTGTCGTGATTTACAAATAATACAGTTATTGTAGACGCCCATTTCATATCAGTGGAAAAAAATACAAACCTTAAATTCATTTTTACGAAGTAAACCATTTCACCGACGTGAAAATAAGAACAGCCATTAATGTTGTTTACATGTATTTGACATCGTCGCCATGCATTTGTAAACAAATCTGCGATGGACGAAAAATTGGTTCTCCCACAGTAAACGTGAAGTCTTAATCATCCAGATGCTTGTCTATATAATACTGTAGCATACTTGAAGCGTCTTGATGTCGATTGTCGATCTTGAGGAACCAGTAAAATGACGTCATATTACTAATAAAATTCTACATAACAAGCCCTAGTATCTATTAAATATAACGCCTAAATATATTCTTTAAAATGAAGTTTTTTTTTTAAATTACAAATATATGAAGCATCTATATTTAAGTAAATAAAATCAATGCACGAGTTAATTATAATAGTGCAATTTTAGGATCGAGCTATCAAATTCTTGTCACACCGGAAACATAAATATAAATTGTGTCAAAGAAGCAGAAACTGAGGTAGGCATCGGGTTTTGTTATTTCAAGACTTAATTACTTTCAAATGTGAACGGGAACGTACATGGCCCATTGCAACCTTGTCTGAAAAATATTTCAATGTCATTACATTTACACTTTTCCCAGTCTTTGAGGCAAAGAGAGCTTGAATAGTGAAACATCTTTTGTTGTCAATACTTTTACATTTAATTTTTGTCTTGTTTGTGAACAACATGACTACTTGAGATTAACCATTGTTGTCTCAATAGTAACCATTCATTTCTTGTCATGTGATTGAGATTATAGTGTTTCTCTATAATATGTTTTACGGTGCAACCGTTGGGGCGAGCGCAGTTGACCATCGAAAAAACTTGAAAAATTTATCAGCCACTTCAAACATCAAGCCTTACCACAGTTAGTCTACGACTGAAACTGTGACGTCACAAATCGGAGCTCGTCGGAAATAAGACAGCCGAGCGAAGAATACTAAAGGGTTGTGCAATTTTGGCTGAAAATAACAACAAATTGCAGAGTTATTTTTTGTTTATTTGGAAAATATCTACAAACTGATAGCCTGAAAATTCAACTAATTTTTTACGTTATTATTTATTTAAATTTATTCGCGCAAAGGACATTGAACTCTCTGCAGGAATACTTGGGAATGTTTCACATGAAAAATTTCTGACGTATGACCAGATTTGGAAATAAAATTTCCTGGTTATCTTACACGACAGTCATGACATATTTACCATGATTAAATTATGTATATAATTATATATACACATAATTATTTGTGTATTGAGATTAATTCTTTTATTTAAAAAAGGCTTTAACTTACAAAGACAAAAAATTAATATATGTTCAATTGTTCAGTAAATTTAAATGTTAAAAAAGAGCATTGAAGGTTTCATTATTCAGTAAATGACCTGAATTAAGTGTGCATTTTTTTTAAGAAAGCCTTTTCAGTTTAATTTGTGCTAAATTTGAAAGTATTCTGGCTTTGGTTTTGAAGTTATTTTTTCTCTCTCTTAATTAATTCAATTAACAAGTGCAATATGTCCAAAATGATTTTGAAGAATACAAAAGGGGTTGAGCTGAAAATAACTACCAAATTAATCAAAACAAACCTCTTTGAGATTGTACATGCCTTTTATCCCAAAAATTAATCCAAATGAAGATGAAAATTCAACTAATTTTCTCTACAGTTTTTCTTGCTTCAAATTTACCTGCCATATTTACATTTGGAACTCTCTGCATGGGTTAATCATATTAAATGCACTGAGTACGAGTTATCGCCTGTGTTTATTTTGCTACATTAAACCTGCAACATAATTAACTGGTAAACCGGCCTCCTGAACATAGCCATTGGCATTGTTTAGGACAATATCATTTTAATGAGTTTAAAGTGCAACGTTATATCTACTCGGGTTGGGAAAATCGGGTTTGAGGGTCATAAAAAATAATCGGGTATGTAACTCTTGATTGATTGAGTTACAATTGTGGTTAATCATATTAAATGCACTGAGTACGAGTTATCGCCTGTGTTTATTTTGCTACATTACGAGTACATGTTAATCTATCATTAATTAACCTAGGACAATATTTTGAACCGGGCTTATTGCTCAAAGAGCAATTGCCAACCTGTATTGAACTCTGCTCAAGTCTACCATTGTTGTCAATCTCAACAGTAAAGATTCATTTTTGCCATTTTAAAGTTACGTGACCAATTGAAATTAACCTTTGTCAACCGCTTTCTTGTTTGTTACAAACATTTGTAGAACTAAAGCAACAAAAATATCTCTAAAAGTACGTAACAAGTTTTATCTATATAAATAAACATGAACCATTGTAGTAATGATTGAAAACTTGTCTTAAGTCAAAGAACATAGTTCATTAGCGTAAGGATTTTTGATAACCATTGCCACCTTTACTGTTAACACATGGTTTCTGTCTTGTCTATTGGAGAGTTGGTAGACGTCAAGACTGGCCTGTTAACCATTGCCACCTTTACTGTTAAGATTCGTTTCTGTCTTGTTATTGACAAAATCAGACAGTGGTATTGGAATGAATTTCGTATTGCGATATATTGTCTTATTTTTATATTGCGATAGTTTTAAAATGATTTTTTCAATGTAATAAAAATGCCATTTTCATGTACTAAATTTATATAATTTACATTCATTGTACATAACTATGTAAATTACCGTCTCACGGAAAAAAATCTTGTTGATTTCATTTAAGTTATGCTTTGATTTGTTTATTCCCACAAAACAATTTGTCTTACTGTTTGGCTTAATAACAAACTTTTATAGTCCATTTTTATATTTAATGTAACAATTCATTTCTGTCTAAGTCATATTGCCAATATATAGACCTTTTACAAAATCGTATTGCAGTGAATTTTTTGTCATTGTATTGCAATATATTGAAATATCGTCTTGTCTATTGCAGACGTTGGTAGACGTCAAGACTGATCAAAGGTAACCATTGCCACCTTTACTGTTAAGATTTGTTTCTGTCTTGTCTATTGCAGACGTTGGTAGACGTCATGACGGACGGAGGCTCTCCACTGTCTGTTGCTGTGGTCTGCTCCAGTAATCAGAACAGAAGTATGGAGGCACACAGCTTTTTAAGGTAAAAGGACGTCATATTAAAAAAAAAGATTTCATTTGACTTCAATGGTGAAAAAAATGAATGTGTTTATTAATTAACTTAGTATTAGTTTCAACCAGTAATTTTTCATATCAATTTGATAGAAGTAATAATGATTACATTGGTATATGAAATTCTTCCCACTAGATTTTTTTTTTGGCATATAATTTATCTTGGGATATTCTTCTACTCCATGTTTTACATTCTGCTGTGACATTTTGTGTTTGTCTTTATGAAAGATTTTGCTCATTTCTTTTTTCAAGCATTGCAAGAAAGCTGATATTTTATTTTGAATATACCTATAACAAATACCTTAAGATATCTCTTTGTTAATGTCGAAGAATAATTTGTATCAACATGTCTCTTTCTATGCAGTAAGCGGGGGTACAATGTACGATCTCTTGGAACTGGTAGTCAAGTGAAGTTACCAGGAGCTACATTGGACAAGCCCAATATTTATGATTTCAACACAACCTACGATGAAATGTACAGAGACCTCATGAGAAAGGATCCAGAATTGTATCCTCCTTAAAATAATGTTTGCTTGCCCTGCTGAATCAGGGTAAAATTATTGGGTCGGTAAGTAGGTTGGAAAATCTTTTTTCCAGAAAATTTCAACAAACTTGTATTTATTGACATTTGACAGGATAAAAGGAAAAAAATATTGTGTCTTTAATTAATTGATTTTATATTGTTTAACATTCCTCTCGAGAATTTTTCACTCATATGGAGATGTCACTACTTGCCGGTGGATAGCTGCAAATTTTGTCCTATACTCGGCACTCAGGGCCATTGAGCAGGGAGGGATCTTTTTTGTGCCAGCACCTACTGCGACAAGGGACTTTGGTTCACCGTCTCATCTGAAGGACCGGTCTCCACATCCCACAGTGGGATTAGAACCCACAACGTAAGGATCTACTCCTTACTTCGCAACTCTAGAGCAGACATTCTAACCACTGCACCATGCGGGCAACTTGTGTCTTTGAAGTAAAAAAAAAAAAAAGAGTCAGGCCATTTTTAAGCAGATGGTCGGGAGAGGGCAACCAAACAATTAATTTAAGATGGCCATAATTACACATTTTGTAATCATGACATGTTGAAATAATTCCTGAACAATACAGATATACACAGAATGGAATTCTCCACATGCTGGATAGGAACAGAAGAATTAAACCAATGCCAGAGAGGTTTCAGGCCTGCAAGGAGAAATTCAATGTCATCATCACATGTGAAGAAAGAGTGTACGATCAAGTCATAGAAGGTCAGAAGCTTGTTGTTGTTAAATAAGAGTTTCATCTATCGCTTCGCGGATTATAAAGCATAAACTGACCCAAACCATATTATATCGAATAATTTGGCCAATAATTAGAGTCATTCCTTAACCTTAATTGAGACAATTACTTGTAGTATAAATAAGTCTCCAAAAGAGTTGTGTCAAAGTAGTTTTGTTGAAGCATTTATGAATTTTATATTTCAAACACAGACTTTGAAACAAGAGAAAAGGAAGACATGCAGCCTGCTCACATCATAAACATTGACATCCAAGATAATCACGAGGAAGCCACGATTGGAGCTTTTCTGATTGGAGATCTGGTTACCATGGTAAGAAAGTTTATCTCTGATTGGAGATCTCATTAGCAGGGTAAGAGAGTTTAAATTTACCATGGTAAGAGTTTATATCTGATTGGAAATCTAGTTACCATGGCAGGAGAGATTATATCATTTCCATGGTAAGAGAGTTTATATCTGATTGGAGATCTGGTTGCCATGGTAAGAGAGTTTATATCTGATAATTGGAGGTCTGGTTACCAAGGTAAGAGAGTTTATATCTGATTGGAGATCTGGTTGCCATGGTAAGAGAGTTTATATCTGATTGGAGATCTGTTTACTATGGTAAGAGAGTTTATATCTACTTGGAGATCTGGTTACCATGGTAAGAGAGTTTATAATTCATTGGAGATCTGGTTACTATGGTAAGGAAGTTTATATCTGATTGGAGATCTGGTTACCTTGGTAAGAGAGTTTATATCTGATTGAAAATCTGGTTACCATGGTAAAAGAGTTTATATCTGATTGGAGATCTAGTTACCATGGCAGGAGAGATTATATCATTACCATGGTAAGAAAGTTTATATCTGATTGGAGATCTGGTTAACATGGTAAGAGAGTTTATATCTGATTGGAGATCTGGTTGCCATGGTAAGAGAGTTTATATCTGATTGGAGATCTGGTTACCATGGTAAGTGAGTTTATATCTGACTGGAGATCTGGTTACCATGGTAAGAGAGTTTTTATCTGATTGGAGATCTGGTTACCATGGTAAGAGAGTTTATATCTGATTGGAGATCTGGTTACCATGGTAAGAGAGTTTATATCTGATTGGAGATCTGGTTACCATGGTAAGAGAGTTTATATCTGATTGGAGATCTGGTTACCATGGTAAGAGAGTTTATATCTGTTACCATGGTAAGAGAGATATATCTGATTGGAGATCTGGTTACCATGGTAAGAGAGTTTATATCTGATTGGAGATCTGGTTACCATGGTAAGAGAGTTTATATCTGATTGGAGATCTGGTTACCATGGAAAGAGTGTGTTTTATCCGATGGAAATCTTATTATGATGAGAAATCTATGCATGTTGTTTGTGTGTCATTTTTTTTTGACAAAAGTATTATGTGTATGTTCAAAACTGACTGATTAAGGTTAAATCATTGTGGTTTGCTTTCTAGCTGTTTGAGTCTGAAGATCTGGACAATGATATAGACGAGATTTTACAAGATTTCGAGCCCCGAGCTGGCAGACCCATTCTCCACACGGTCTGTTTTTACTGACCTCTGGTCTGCTGTGAAGGTAAAGAGGCCTGTTTACATAGTCTTATATATGTGTCAGATTAATATGTAGTCAAATTTAATGCCCTTTTGGTGCTTTATGTTTCTATATATTTCTACTTTATTTTTTTTTAAATGTACATGTTGTCTTCTTGCAGGTGTTGGATGGATTAAAATGCAGAACTATTTCTGTTGACCTCTGATTTGAAAAGAATATCCCCTCATCAGTTGCCAAGTCATTGATACTGAACTTGTATGACAAACTACATTTATGTATATGTCATTGTTGTTTGTTAAAAGTCATTATGTTTAGTTGATCCACGGAATAATGTAAAAATTTGTTTTATAACAAAAACTATTCATACTTTTTATCATTTTAAAATAAAGCAAATGAAATGCTGATGCTAATGAAATGTAATATTCCATGGTTGTATTAAGGAAAATTGACAATTTTAATTAATTAATATTTTCTTTGAAGAACTTGACATTTTCTTATACTTGTGTACATTTAGACTCTGATTTTAATAAATGGATATTTTCTTTACAAAACTTGACAATTTCACAAAATGTGTGAAAATTTAGACTTTATAAAGCTCTAAATGGTTAAGCTGGAACTTTCCATTGCTATAAAGACTTTATGTGTTGTTAATTTATCTTTGTCTTTTCATTTTATTGTGTGTTTCATGTTTCAAACTTAAAATTTATTACATTAAGCACCAAAATATCTGGGTTCTGTTACAATTTTATTGTACAACAGAAATAAAGCTTATTTTTGTTTTAATGTCTAATGTTATTCATTTCTGATTTTTTAAAGGGGGGGGGATAAAATGAGTATATTTTATGGCCATACAGAGCCCAAAATCATGAAGTAGTTTATCAGAGTACATACGTATAATATTTAAAAAATGCTCATTACATACACAGTATATTGCACAATAATGTTGATTACATTTTTTGATTATCTTTCTGTCTATCTGCGAATCTTTAAACCAAAGGGCCAATTTCAAATAAACATCAAGACGAAAGCATCCCTGTGTTAATTCAGGGGAACACTGAAGTAATGATAAGTCATTTGAATATGGAATCCTCCTCAGCCAGTGTCAAATCATGTTTGATCAAATCATGTTACCTGGAATAGGTACGTGAGGTCGCAAAAGGATCAAAATTTTACACACCGTCACGATTCCAATGTTTTGTGATATTGTTTCTCTTCACACAAAACCTTGACGTTGTGAAGATGAATTTTACATAGAAATTACCTAATGGAAAAAATGTGCCGAGGAAGAACAAGATGACCACAATGCCTCGGGTGAGCATTTGCTTGTCGATTTTTTAACCAGGTAACGCCCCCTCCCTTTCAGACACTTTCAGTGTCTGATATAATAATAATTTTCGGAAGATGGGCCAGGTTTCATCAGGTTGTGGGAAAAGGGGAAAAACAACCAAATATTTCAGTTTGGAAGAATATAGAGGGGCGCACTATCAAGGACCTATATACTTAGTATGCTCTATATAGGTTCCTGGTACTATCAAGCAAAAAAAAAATCATTGGTCTTGTTTGAGATACATTTTAAAAAATTATAAATTGAACTTTAAAGTGTTAACATTTTTCTATTCAAAGGTTTTAAAATTAATTTTCTTTAGTAAAGTATTCTTTCGATTTTCCGAATTTTGCGTTTATGTTAATTGCACTGTATTTAATATAGAAATATGAAAATTGAAACTATTACTCAAAACCAAAATTTACTTCGAACAAAAACAAAACCGATAAAAGCAGAGTTTTATATGCCTTTGATGAAAAACACCGTCTCTGCTTTCATCTTCCTTTTAACATTATAGACAGGCAGCTGATATTTTTATGTTCTTTGACCAAACATTAAACTGCGAACACGATCTTTTTTTTTAATATGGTTTCTTAATGACAAATATATAAATTCATATATTATTATTAAAACTGACACTTTTAAAATCAAATATACATGTACACGTTGAAAAATTATGCCCCCCCCCCCTCCTTTCCTATTCCCAACAGCTACCACAGCACACTATCGTGTGAAGATGTTTTTCTTTTTTTAATTAGAGATAACTCAACTTTATCAAATTTATTCATTTTCTTTTTTTTTTAAATTTCGGATGGAAGGGTGTTTAACTATTTAGACAATAATTCGGAAAAATTTATGTCGTTCAAGATGTATTCAGTGGTCGGAAATTCGAAATTTGTTCCATTTCCGTTACAACAAGCGCCATTTTGTGCTTTGGTTGTTCTGATAATTAAACATGTTGACTAATGTGCACAGACATTATTTTAGGTTTAATGAAGTTTAAATCGAATAAAAGATGTTTCTTTGGAAGTATCTGAAATGATGAAATCAGATTAAACTGAGATCAATATTGGTAAGCCATGTCTTAAAATTCAGAAGCGTTGAACATTTTGAACACTTGGCCAGCACAAGGTGGAATAATGGATTAAAGTACAAGTCTTAGAAGTGAACTGTATTTTGGACCCCTCATCACCGCTCCCTATATGTTTGTACACCACAATCTTGGTTTTGGGTGTAGTTTCCCCCAATGATTAAGGCGTAATCCGCGTTCAAGATGTTTTTGAAAGGAAACTTTTTAACATGGTAAAACTAAAAGGGAGATAATCTAACTGCTCCGAATATATGGAAAACTTGGTCGATTGAATTATTGGCCGGATATTTGATTGAAATTAAGAACAGACTTTAACTCAAAATGGCCAAAATCGTAATCATTTTGAAGCCTTGTTAAATGCCTTGTACCCTAATTTGGATAAATAATCAGTAAATGCTGAAGGGAAAACTCACATTAGAGCTACTCTGTCACGAATGCAATCATGAAAAAGCAGTTGTGAAGGTCTTTCATTTAGGTTCGAAACAGGTGGTACATATTTCCAAAATAGGGGGGTATCTATAATCCTGTGGAGTGTAGTAGGAAAGCTAACCAGGCCGATATCCATGGCCAAGATAACCTGAATTGCTACATATGATATCAAATGTTTCCTCCTACAAAAATTTCGACTTCTCATTATAGCTGGGGATAAAAGTATACAATTTGAAAAGCTTGAGCTGTGGTGCTTAAAGTAGAGTAGGTCTCTTTTTAAGCATTGAATTCATATTTTGGGATGTCTTCGGTCCTAAAACACACCTGGCCGTGCTGACAAATTGAATATTGCTCTAACAATGCTTATATTTACATTCTCTAATTTTTCCTCTTCATAATTGTTTATTTTGCTAATCTTCAATGTGAAATTAGCGCCCTTCAAAACTTGTGTGCTTTACAGACACAAGAGCCGTTTATGACATTGCAAAGTTAAATAACGTAAACAAATGTTGGGAGGAAAAAAGGTAACAAATTAATTTCAAATGCACATTTATTGTATTTTTAGGTTAATTTCACAGGTTAATTTTTTTTTTTTAATCAAATTTTGAAACAATGTACATTTTGATGTTCCTCAAGTATTGAAAATACATATAGTTCCTACTGTGTATTCTAACGCGCGGTGACAATGTTTCGTGTGTTATAGAGATTTGAATGTCATGGATTTCTAATGGATTTCAAAGAGAAAATTACACTGAATGTAAATATAAGTGCTTGAAGAACTCTGGTAGGTATCTAAGGGATGATGTTGAGTTGCCTAGAACGCTGTGCAACGGCAACATTTTTAGGCTCTGTGTTTTGATGTACATGATAAAAACTCTAACAGTACAGTAAGGCCTCTTAACTGCTGTACAAATCTCTGTGTGCTAAAGTGACAGATACTGCACTGTTGTCACTGCTCACCCAGGGAAGGGGGAGGGGACTCGGCTTGGTGCAATGTGACAAGTTTAGTTGCACTGATAATGCAATACCTTAACAGCTCTTTATATAGCGTTTTGATTTAACTAAAAATACACAGTATCTTTTTTTCCTTACTAGAGGGACATTTTAAAGTTGAAATAATTACTTTATGTTTTTTTTTGTGTGGATTATAAAGCAAAAAAAAAAAAATGTCCCATGGCAAATGATGTCTGACTGAGTTCTCCCAATTTTCATGACATTTAATATTACGGGCAGAGTTTGAGAGCAGTTTTGTGGAATAATAAATGCAATTCTAAAGATGCGGGGACTATTGGTAAAATTCAAGAGTTGTAAAACAGAAAAAGGAATTTAATATATATCCATACTGGTTTGTTAATAAATCAGAAAAAAGTAATGCATAATACTGACACATGTATATGTACTTTGCTAATGTATTTATGTTTGTGCCTCTTGATGTAGAAATGTGTTTGATTTTGTAGAATACAAAATGAACGACTCGGGAGGCGTGGTCACTATTCCCATGCAGCCAATGCCAGCGCCGGCGTTCCAGGCCTTCCAGCGGCCCAATGCTCGCACGTTTCAGAGAAGAGGCCCCCAGCTGGACCCCAAGGGAGGGGCCCAAGACGGGGACAATTCAGCGGGCCCTGTCATGTTTGACGGAAAACGTATGCGAAAAGCAGTTCATCGTAAAACCGTGGACTACAATTCAGCTGTTGTTCAGTATTTAGAGGTTTGTATAATTTAATAGTAATCTAAAGTCATTGCCCCCACCCCCCAAACACACATGCACACAAATTGCTAGTTTTAATTCCATCTCAAGTGTTTAAATAGAAATGCAGTATAACAAACTTATAATGAACAAACTTGTGATGAATTGATGCTTTCAGTAAAGGGATTTTCATTCCATGTGACTTCAAATTAACAGATATAAAGAATTTAATTTTTATAATCCACCCCTAGCACTTCGTTATAAGCATTTTTAACTGTATAGTGTGACTAAATTGAACTATAATTGTAAAACCAAACATTTTCAATTTGTGTAGTTAATTTTATCATAATATTTAACATGGAAAAATGTTTTAATCAGTTGTGTAATATATTTTTAGTTTCAATAGTATAGGTTATAAGTCTACTTAGTCTAGTCTTATAATTTAAGTTAAAGTTGAACTGGTAAATATTAAAAGATTTCAGTTGTTTAGGAGAGAGCTTGATGATCTTTTATATTCAATGTTACTGATATGTTTTTCCAGAACCGAGTTTGGCAGAGAGACTACAGAGACATGAGAGCTATACAGGCAGATTCCCTGTATCAGATTGATGTAAGTCACAGATCACAGCAGGGCAAAAAACCAGTTATATGGCATCAGTGATAATTATGTAATACTTTGCCATCCTACCCAAAGGAAATTTGTAATCTTTGGAATATACATTAGTGCCATAATTAGATTTAAGGATCATTTTTATTGAAAAGGTAAAAAAAATCCTTAGATAGGTTATCAGACTTGGAAGATAGTCCAATTTTTTTTTCCATTTTTAAGTGCTTACTTAAAGAAGATGCATTTACACAATGTATAATACTCTATTCAACAGGGCCGCTTCTAACATATTCAATGATTTGACATTACGCTGTATAAATTAAAATACCCAGTTTGTAGCCTGGTTATGTTTTATTTGTGTTTCATATCTCTTGCAGATCCCACCACCAATGGCCATGATAAACAACTCAATGAATTGTGTGACCACAAAATTCATAAGAGCTTCTACCAATAAATTTAGATGTCCAATATTTTGTCTCGCTGTAAGTAGTAAATGAATAATTATTTCATTTTGAGTGAAATACAACACATAGATGTGTTTTAAGTAAGCAGATGTAAGTTTGAATCAATGCCACAAAAATGATATATTATACATGTACTTACAACAAAATGGCATAATGCTGATGTATTTGTGTTGTAGAGATATGCAGTGAAGCATTATTTTGAATTACATGTATTTGAATTTTTATAGCTTTGTTTTTCTTATACATGGAACCTATTTTGCAGTGGACACCAGAAGGGAGGCGATTGGTCACTGGAGCCTCTAGTGGAGAGTTCACACTCTGGAATGGACTCACCTTCAATTTTGAAACAATTTTACAGGTATTTCAGCAAACTTCAACATATGTGAACACACTGATGTAGACTATCTATTGCTTGTTAACATATTAGAGAAAAGTTACTACATGTACCAATACCAATGAACCATTGTCTATATGAATTATTTAATAATTAAGGTAACCATTGATCTGTTGTCTATATATTAAGTTTGATGCTGTCATTTTTACCACTGTCTACACTGAGGTTGATTGCTATCATTTCAGGCCCATGACACTTCTTGCCGAGCCATGCAGTGGAGCCATAACGACAACTGGATGGTGACCGCTGACCACTTTGGATACATCAAGTACTGGCAGTCAAACATGAACAACGTGAAAATGTACCAGGGGCACAAGGAGCCGATTCGCGGGTTAAGGTATCACCATGTTCCCATGGATGCAAGGATCCATGACCAATCAGATCACTTGTTTGTATGGGGGTTTGTCTCGGTTTGTGCTGCGGCTTTAAGCTGTAGCAATGAACTTCAGCAGCCTGGATGTAACCCATGTGAAGTGATTAGGACTCTAGAACTGTGGACTTTTCCTGTTACATGGAAGCTTTATGTTAAGATTTCTCTACTAAGACACAGACTGAAATGCTTGGTTTCAGTGTTGTTGAGTATTTTACTTGTTCTCTATTTGATGAATCAGACTGGCTCTCCAAAGGTACAGGAAAAGTCCACAGGTTTGGTGATAGATGTTTTATCAGTGTATCGGATGTGATCAGGCTATAGGGTTTAATAAAGGCTATTGCCCGTTGATATGGCATGATATACAGTACATAAGGATTTGTGCAATAAATTTTTAATAAATTTTACATTTATTAATTTAAAATCTAATAAAGGCTTTTATGCCCAGATTTGTTTTATTTGCAATAAAGGCTTTGTGCCCTAGTTTTGATGCAAATTCAATAAAGGCTTTAGCCCAGAACACAATTAAAATAAAGGCCAATGTGCCCATTTAGAATGAGTGAATTAAGTTGGAGAGGGATAAAGTCATTGTCACCATTACATTAAAAACAGACTGTTGAATCATACACCTGGAAAAAGAGGTGTTCAAGGAAAAAGTTCACACATTTCATAGTTCATCCATCATACATTATTCCTCATTTACAGTGAAATTTCATCATGCATCCCATTAATCACTGCTACAAGTGTATCTGGAGTGTAGGATATTTATGAAAAGATTAAGGGATAATTTCAAAAACATACTGGTAGTTTGAATTTTCTTTATGAAAAATTACCAGCATAAAGTAGAAGCCATCTACCTATAATACAGACCACCAGAGATCAAAATTGCTTCAGGGTCACTGTTATTCAAAAATCTGTTGACATCTCTTTTTCAAAAAATTATATTTTCTCCATTATTGATGCATACCAGATAAAACTTAAAATTTTCTGAACATTTGTAGCATGATTGAAATTTTCATTTAGAGATATCTCATTATCACCCATTTCTCACATGTATACGGTAATTAACAGTCTTAGGAAATGGTGACAAAGACAAAATGCATAACATCTGAAATTATTTATATATTCATCTGTCTCATTTAATTTGCTTAATAAATTTGTATGGAGATATTTTGTTTCCTTTGTTTTTCTGATATAGTTTTTGCCCGTCGGATAGTAAATTTGCCACATGTTCTGATGACGGAACTGTTCGAATCTGGGACTTCATGAAATGTCACGAAGAAAAAATTCTTAGAGGTATGTTGGGATTTTAAAGGACAATCACGGACATTGCCTTAAAATTGACAAGCCCGTGTGACCGATTGACTTAAATAAATTTATAAAAATCTGAGCTATCTGGTCAGCATGTAACACTGACTTTTAAGAGTCATGGAAATACGCCGTTGGAGTAATTTATTATAACTATGAAAATAGAAATGTTCCAAAGATATGTATAGTAATTAAACCAGCTTCAAACTTAAATACTGCAACAGAATTTGTTATAAAAGAATGAAATAAGCTTGGTCATGCATTACCATACGAAGATGCAAATAATCATTATTACTGTAAGAAAGGGGAATTACTCCCGTTAGAGTTCGGGATGAAATATAAAAATGATGGACAACAGTTTGAAAACTCTGGAATTCATAATTTTGATGGTACTGCATGTTCACAGTTAACAAGCCTTTGGATATCACATCTTTTGGACTGAACATAAAATAGTGCTATGTGTTTCTTTCCTCGTTTCTAAATATAGGTCATGGATCAGATGTTAAATGTGTAGACTGGCACCCACAAAAAGCTCTCTTAGCGTCAGGCAGCAAAGACAACCAACAGCCGATTAAGTTATGGGACCCGCGAGCCGGGACGAGTCTGGCCACCATGTAATCATTTACTGTTGTTTTATTTCTGTCAATGCCCCCTCCCCCCCCCCCCCCCTCCACCAGGAAGCTACAAAAAGTGTACTTCTACAAAAAGTGTGTTATAACTACAAAAATCTATGTGCGACTCTTGAGTGATATACATGTATGGTCTAATATCACACACATATTTGGCATTTTATCATTTGCCTGTCTGGCATTTTATAAATATTCATGTTTTTGTGCTCCTAAAAAAAAAAAAAAAGCTTGAAAAAAATTCTTCAAAAAAGAAACAGTAGAACGAAATACTTCAACTTGACATTTATTTTTTGTGACACATTGTAAATATATATGACTTTATAAAAATCATGACACGTGCAATATCATACTCTTCTTCAGCCCTTGGTCTCTTTATAAAAGTGTTCATATCTGATAACTCTAAGGCTGACGATGGCCGTAAACTAATATTAGATGTGATGTAAAACTCTTGTGTCAGTTTGTATATCATGACTCAGTAGATATTAGGTTGATACGTCAAGTCCCTGTAAAGGAGGTATATGTATATGATACTATAATGAAGATTCCAGAATTCAGAACCTCTGGGCGAAAAAGCAACAATTTTGTTCAAAAATTTGTAAAGATGGTTCATATTTGAGTCAGATCTTGTATTTCCTTTACTTTAATTTTGTTTTGACCAAAATACTGGAGTTAAACTGGTTAAAAACTATGAGAAATGAGTTATGATATACATGTACTACCGGTAGTCAGAATTATAATGTAGTTTGATATGCAGCCCATCTGATTTCAAAACTTGTCAGTAGAAAAATTAAAAAAACAAGAACAATTTTTGTATTTATTAATGGCTTTTATGCTTAAAAAAGTCAAACATTTAAAGTAAGATTACCTGGGAGTCTCAGGTATTTGAAAGTCTAACAAGATCCTAAATGCCTTTGCTGACATTTTTAAAACCTATTTTTTGCCCTGGAAGACATGCACACAAAGCCACAGTGATGGAACTGAAATGGAACAAGAACGGGAACTGGCTGCTGACGGCTTCAAGAGACCATCTCCTGAAAGTCTTTGACATCCGTAACATGAAGGAGGAGATTCAGACATTTAAAGGTCACAAGAAAGAAGCCACAGGTAAGGCAGTTTATCACCTGTACACACGGTTAAAGGTCACATTGAAGGTGGAGTGGAGGGTCATTGTATTGTCACTTCACAGACAAACACTGAATATTTGACCTTAGCAACACAAGCCACTAAAAGACTTGGGGTTTGAAAAGTAACTGTTTGAATATAAAATGGAGAAAGTTCTTAAAAGCATAAGGAAATGCAGAGAATTGTGATTTCCAACTTGCAGGGCTTTACTGGTTGGGGTACAGTGATCTATGGCATATTTTAATTGTCTTAACTTACCGGTAAACAGTTTCATTGTTTTGAAATAAGACATTCTGGCACAGATTTTCTGCAGAAGTTATGACCAAGGATTAAGTTTTTGAAAGGCAATCTTTGAGGTCAAGGTCATGAGGTCAAAAATCATGGTACATTTGTCTTTGCTATTGCATGCATGCAAATATGAAAGCCTTGTTTCTTATAGTGCAAAAATCTGCACCTGGGATCATTATTTTTAAAAATAGGTTTTGGTCAAGGGCGCGGGGATAAAAAATCAGAGAATATTCTGAAAGGTCTTACAGATTATGCACTTGTAAAAATAGGAAAACCTTGTCTTTGTAGGTTAAGGATTAATTTTAAAAAAAAAGGTCATATATCAAGGTCAATGACGTAAGTCGTGTCTTTCATGTCATGTCAATGACTTATTTTTAGGTGAAAGGTTAATTTTTGTAAAGGTCATACATGTACTTCAAGGTCAGTGACATAATGTCATCTCTTTCATATTTTCATGTCATGTCAATGACATGTCTTATTAGGTAAGGGGTTAATTTATTTTATTTTAAAAAGGTCATACTTCAAGGTCAGTGACATAAATCAAAACATCTGGAAGGTCCTACAGCAAAATAACATGAAATATGAAAGCCCCATAATCTTTCATTCAAATACTAGTACATAATCATTTTTGTGTGACAAAGGGACAGACAGACAGTTATAAGCATTTATTTTGCTGCCTTTTTTCAAAAACTGGGAACAGAAGAGTATATTGCTAATTGTATTTTTAAGGTTAATATCCCAGAAAACCCAAATAACCATTCAAGCAAAATAGATTTACAGTGAAACTTATCCTATCCAGATGTTGTGTATTCCTAAATTTTGCCTAATATGGTGTAAACTTTTAAGTCTGTTTTCTTATGTGGAATGTTGTCCAATTAGGTCAATTTTTATGGAAACGGTGGTGTCCAAATAAGAAAAGTTTATCTGTAATAAAAAAATATACAGTAAAACTCATTTAGTACGAACACGTATATAGTGAATTCACGGATATAGCGAAGTTTTTCTGGGTGTCTGGCAAAATTCTAAACAAATCCTTGTAAAATTTTACGGTTATAACGAACTCTGATATAACGAATTTACGGATATAGCGAACTGATTTTGGGTCCCGTTGAAGTTAAATATAATGAAATTTACATCTTTTATAACGAACTTTCAAAGATCTCAAAATTTAATAAATTGAACTGACTTATTTTTGTTCATGGAATTGTATATATAATTCAACTCACAAGAAAACTTTAGTTATCGAAGGTATGTTTTGTAATATTTTCTTCCCTAACATATTTGGTAGTAATACTTGAAGGAAAACATGCATATTGCGAATTCGCTTTATATGGTTTTACGAATTCGTTATACGGTTATAACGAATTACGGATATAGCGAATTAAATTCACAGGTCCCTAGGACTTCGCTATAACCGAGTTTTACTGTAGATATTCAAGGTTAAAACATGAAAAAGATACTCTCATACATGTATGTTTAAAGCATAACAAATATTTTTTTATGTGTTCATGCATACACATACATGTGAATAAATGAAAACGGCATTTAAATTGAAAAGCTCAAGGTCTTCATTTATTTGACGATCAGAACACTGTTCAAACTTTTTGATGTTAAACCTGCAAAAAGATAGATTACAAATATCAGAGTTTCCCTCTGTTTACAGCTGTGGCCTGGCACCCTATACACGAAGGCTTGTTTGTGAGTGGTGGATCCGATGGAGCGGTCATGTTCTGGAATATGGGGTTTGTGTTCGTTGATATAATTTTTGTTTTACACATTTAAGTCTGTAAGTTTGATCTAAGAAAAGCAAATCATACGATAAGTTAATAAAAACAAGCAGGCTGATAAGCTCTTCATCATTTCAAGTGTGATAAAACAGCTTCATCTCTAATGAAATATGCATCTTTTTTAATGTTTTTGAGCTGTTACTTAGGTTAGACAGGGAGGCGGGGTCTATGACAGTTTATCAGATGTTTGAGCTGTTATTTAGGGGGTGGCATCTACATTTATGACAGTGTGATGTTTGAACTGTTATTTGGGGGTGGGGTCTATGTCAGTCTATCTGATGTTATTGATATTGAACTATTATTTAGGGGGTGGGGTCTATGTCAGACTATCTGATGTTATTGAACTGTTATTTGGGGGTGGGGTCTATGTCAGACTATCTGATGTTATTAAACTGTTATTTAGGGGGTGGGGTCTATGTCAGACTATCTGATGTTTGAGCTGTTACTGTATAGCGGGTTTTCTTGGCGGGTGTAAAATTTGGCATTTTGCCTGCTCAAAGGTATGCAATAATTTTGGCCTAATTCATTTAAGCGGACGCAGGGTTTCAGGTCTTCGCAGATGGTCACTAAGAAGAGTACTGACTGTTTTAGCGATTAAGAGCCATTCTCTGTAATGATTTGAAATTTTATATAGGAGCTGTGGCACGCATAGTCTCAGAATTTCTCCAAACTCACTATGATAAAAGTCATTGATACCCTTAACTGGAATCAGGCAAAAATTGGTTGCTATGTTTTATAGTTACCATGGCAACATGTCTTAAAGTTCGAAAAATGGCAGGTTTTAACATGTTTAGAGCCCCATAGTTAACATTTGCGGCAAAGCAAACAATTGGCAATGACTGTTTCCAAAAGTTGAAGGTCAGATGTCTCAAATGCATGATAAACATGTTTGGTAAATCAACTATTACATACGTTACTATGGTAACAAAGTATTCAAAAGTAAAAAAAAATATTCATTGAATTTTATAAAGTCATACATGTAAAAATAAAAAGCAATTATAGGATGAAATGTGACCAAATAATAGAAAAAAGAGCCTTGAAACATATACCAAGAACAAAATATGATATTTCATTTTGGTTGGCAATGGTTGCCAAGGTTTTTGTACCACAGAGAGCCTTCAATGTAACACTCTGTATGTTTATGATCCTATCTTTAAAAAAAAAGCATATTTCCTCATAACTAATGATCAATTTTATAAGATGCTGGTGTGCTCTAGGTTTTTCCATTTGAAAAAATTCAGATTAGATTCTTTAAATAGAGTGTTGCTATGGAAATAAGCGGAAAATATATGCTTAAAAACCTGAAAAATATTTTCTTTTCTTGGATACGTACCCTTAAATGTAGATTCCCAAAACTTTTATGACTGATATTTATTAACAGCTAACTTGACTTTTAATTTTGACTCTCATCCAATCTCTAAATGGATGCAAGAAGTTGGCACACAGGGTTTAATATTGATATAATGTTCACAAAATCGAACATTTTCCCTTCTTGGTAACCATAGCAACAGTGTTGTTTTATTCATCAAATTTTATTTAAGAAATAAGGTATCATTTTTTGAGTTTTATTGAGATGTAAAACGGGTTGGTCACGTGATCAAATCAAATAAAACCCGAAGGGCTTTATGGAAGATTTGATCATGTGCCAACCCGTTTTACATCTCAATAAAACTCAAAAAATGATACCTTATTACTTATATTTACATTTGTGTCTTATTCATACTTTATATTTGCCTGATTGTTACTTTTAACGCGTGAAATGCGGTAATTTTTCAAACCCAACGGCTTGTATGTAATCCACTAAACACGCGTCGACCCTTTATGACGTCACAGAGAAATTACGTCGAACGTTTATCCAAACGCACATCTATGACCTCTTGACCCCATACCTGTATTTACACAGTTATAAAAACGCTTGCTTTCAGTAGTGTTATATAAAGGAAAACACTTGCAAATGTAAATATCAATATATGATATTCAACTTCAGTTCTAACAGATAAGTACTATTCAAGCTGAGTTCTTTAATTTGTTTCTTGATTAAATGGCAATTTAATTCTTAATGCAGGGAAAAATAATTCACTTTTAAGCACTGGTACTTTGTTTCCATGGTAACACTGCAAAGTAGCAATTATACCCAATTTTTCTTATGGTTTTGGTGTTGCAAGGTCCTAAGGATGCATGTTTGCCAGTCTTGAATTTTCATGTTTTTCCTCAAGACAGTAGCATTAAACCAATCTTAGTTACAGGTTTTGCATGGTTACACTGTGTTACCATGGCAATCATAAAAGTTATTTATAGAATAATGTTGCTTATACTTATATACTTAAGGTCAAACATTTTCATTATTTTTCTTAAGTCGTTGATTGAGTTTCAGCATGTAACACCTACCATTAGTGAATATGGAGTGTTTATCATCATATTTCAGCATTTTAAATGTATTCCAAATGTACCCTTGGTTACCACTTACTTAGAGATATATTCTAAACAGTTTCTTTACAGTATAAGTGACATCAAGGTGTCATGTTTTTGTGAGAATGGTTTGTTTGCTTTTTCTAGTTTTTATTAAGCCACAGTCAAGATTTAAAGTGGCTGAAAATCTCGATTTTTCAAACTTTTCCGGCTGTTGCCATAGCAATCGAGACACATAGCAACGAAATTTTGTTTGATATTTGTTTCTGGTGTCAAGTACTAAGCATGGGTGAAGTTTCATCAAAATCGGTGACCATGCGTGGCAACGAAGTTTAAGTGGTTATAGAGAATTGCTATTAATATTTTAGTGGACTATCATCAAAATGCCAAAATAAGCCAAAATTAGATTCCGCTAAAATAACCCACGATATGGTATTTAGGGGATGGGGTCTTTGACAATTGATGTGATGTTTGAGCTGTTATTTAGGAGGCGGGGTCTACGTCAGTTTATTTGATGTTATTGATCTGTTCTTTAGGTTAGACAGAGAAGTGGGGTCCATGGAGGAGGCACATGAAGGGATGGTGTGGAGCTTGGCCTGGCATCCAATGGGTCACATTCTGGCCACTGGGTCAAATGACCATTCAACGTAAGTCCTTCAAACTACATGTATTTTAGAGCTAAATCTAGAGCAATAAACATATATATAGAACCTTACTAGACAAATCTCATGCAGATCGGTTGTATTGAAAAAGCATATAATATAAATCTGCAATTCAGTTGTTGAAGTAAACTAGATTAATATTTATGTCATTTGGAGAATTTTAACATTGGTGTGGTTTTTTTTGGTAGGAAATTCTGGACTCGAAACAGACCGGGGGATAGAATGAGAGACAGATACAACCTAAATACGCTGCCTGGAGGCTCAGAGCATGAACTGGCCGAGTTTGGTAAGTGAGTGAAAGCTCAGAGCATGAACTGGCCGAGTTTGGTAAGTGAGTGAAAGCTCAGAGCATGAACTGGCCGAGTTTGGTAAGTGAGTGAAAGCTCAGAGCATGAACTGGCCGAGTTTGGTAAGTGAATACACCATCTAAGGCCCATGTTGACTGAGTGAGTTTAGTAAGTGGAAACTGTAAAAGTTCTCTGCATCAAATCATAAAGGCAGACAATGTCCCCAAGATTCTGAGAATGATCTGTGAAAACAGCACCCAAATAATTGTAGCATGAATTTAAGTTAATGAACATTCTATGTAAGGACTCAGTTGGTAGATTAGCCTAGTTATGCAGGATTACTCACTTCCCAGGTCACTACCCACAAGCTTGAATGGGTAAGATAATGTTATATCTGAGGTATCCAGGCACACTGCTAGTTCAATGGTGTAAACAAAATCACCAACCTAGTTTCTTTAATTGTCACACAAACTATAAAGAGATCAAGCTGCCTGAATACAGTAAAACTCAGATATACAGAAACAAGGTTGTAGCCAATACCTGCTTACAACAGAATTTTATTTCATCAGGAGAAGTTCAAAGAAATGACAAATAGATACTCAGCAGCTAGACAACTAGGTAGAACCAGTGAAGGATGTGATAAAGTAGGCTCCGCTGTCTAGTATTTCACTGTTAGTTAAATGTATGCGCTGTTGTAGATCCTGATGCCACAGCTGGACCTCTTATACCTGGAATGGGACAGATTCCAAGTGGACAAGTGATGGTCAGCAAGGAGGAAGGTAAAGAACTTAGCACAAGTAAAATTGATAAAAATCTATAATTCCATTGTATCTTAGTCCACCTACAAAGTTGAATAGCTCCTCATTAAATGCTATGCTACAAGGTATAATAAGAATTTTTTCCAATGGTTTCAGAAAAAGCAGAAGAAGAAGATCTACCGTCTATACCTGGACTGGACTGGTCCGCTGATGAAAGCTTCTTCAAGCAGCAGGAACAGCCCAGGATGCCCATCAAGAAGATCCCCTATGCTAAACCCATACCATGGGACTTTGAGCGGGCGTGGATGACAAACAAGTTACCAAACGTAGAGAAGGAGGATCCTAAACGTCGCCGCGACAAAGACTGGGACAAGGATAATAATAACAGGAAGGACAGGCGTAACCGCGGCCGAGACCGGTAAACAGTTACTCTTTACTTTGATAATGCTTCTCAGAAATTATGTCCTTCATGTTGAGATGTGAATGAACTCTCCATCAAACGTGAGGTTTTAGCAAAAACTACAAAAACTGGCCCCAAAGAATGAAAATTATTACACAGTATTTTAATCTCTACCTCTTTGAACAATATTTAGTTTATATCTCTTTCTAAAATACTTTCATTTTCTACTTCTGTTTATGAACTGTTTTTGAAGACAATAAAACTGAACATTGTTGAAGGTACATGTACATGTATCGACATTTCCTTGCTAAAGAACGCTGCACCGTTTTCTTTCAGAAGAAACAATGAAGAGGACTGGCAGGAGGAAGAGTACGAGGATGAACAGATGATTCCGGACAGTAACCATGACAACAGGTTAAATCCAGGTCAAAGGCCCATGGGAGGAATGATGGGAAATATGCTGCCAGGAGATATGGGGAATCAGAACAGAGGGCAATTCAACCAAGGCCCAGGAGATATGAATCAAGGCAGAGGGCCATTTAATCAAGGACCTGGAGATAGGAATCAAGGTAGAGGGACATTTAATCAAGGCCCTGGAGACATGAGTCAAGGCAGGGGGCCGTTCAACCAAGGCCCAATGCAGCAGAGAGATGGTATGGGTAATAATGGTCCTCCAGGGAATATGAACATGCCTCCAGATAACATGGGTCCTGGTGGCATGATGCAGGGAAACATGGGCCGAGGAGGAATGAATCCCGGGAACTTTGGCAATAGGAATCCTGGGAATTTCGGTGGGATGAATAACATGCCATTTCAAAGTCCAGATCAAAGGAAAATGGGCCCCAATCAGGGTCCGGGTCCTATGAATAATCCTCCAAGATTTCAAGGAAATCAAGGTATCAATCAAACCATTGAAAAATGTACACCTGTGAAGCTTGATAAAATTAAAATTACGTTTCTTGGACTTGCATACGTCCATTTTTGATGTTGCCACTTTGCAATGTTTTTTGTATTTTTATAAAATAATTGAGCGTATAATTAAAATCTGAGAAGCAGGAAACAAAATGCCCCGGTTTCTTTTTTTTTTCAAAAATTAAATATTTCCTAGTTTTAATGTAAATTGTTTTTTTACAGGTGGCCAATTTGGACAAGATTTTCAAGGTATGAATAACATGCAGGGAAATTCCTGGCGACAAAACAGAAATCAGGGAGACAACTTCTCTGGTCCTGACAACTTCCAAGGGGACAATGATTATCGCACTGACGTGGACTTCCGCCAGGACAACACGAATCAGCAGGGATTCCGACAGGACAACTCGAATCAGCAAGGATTCCGCGGTGGAAGAGGCGGGAGATTCCAAAACCGCAGAGGGGGGGATCAGGACGAAAGGTGGAACGACGGATCAGGGGGACAGCAGTGGAGAAACGACCTCAACATGCAGGAAAACTGGGGCTCCGACGGGGGAAACTTTAATGATCAGAACTTTGGGGGGAATATGGGGGGTGGAGGTGGCAGGGGTGGGAGAGGGAGAGGGGGTGGGGGCGGATGGAATGAGAGAAGAGGAGGTGGAACTAGAGGAAACAGAAATGACGGGAACTTTAATCAGTCAGATCAGTTCAATCGCAAGAGGAACTGGAACCAGGGACCAGGTGATAATGACTTTAACAGTGGACCTCGTAACAGTGGGTTCAAAGGAGGCGGGGGCCCCCAAGGGGGCTGGTCAGATGACTCAGGGGGGCGAGGGAGGGGGAGGGGCAATAGGGGAAATCGCGGGTTCAGAGGAGGAAGGAGAGGGATGTCCTAGCATTGTGATCTCAGTATTTTCATTTCATCATTACATCGTTTGTCAGATATTTTGTTCCTTGCTCAGTCGTTTCATTTTGTCATCACATTGTTTGTAAGATATTTTAGTTCAATGCCTGTTTAAGACAAGCAAGAAACTTCAATTGTAAATTCAGTTTTTGTATGTACAGTGTAAATGTGATGCAAAATTCAATGTTTATAGGACTCTCTGAACATTTTTCTACGGCTATTTTGAGTGTAATTTAATGTGGACATGGTATAAACATTCCTGAAAACATAGGCAAACCTAATTTTAAGCTGAGTGCCTTGGAATTAAACTTTTCTTTGAATTGATGTAAATACACATACCGTTATTTTACAGGGCTTTTTGCATCAGTAAAACTGAATATTGTTTACCTATGTTAAACTAAGTCATTTTGCAAAGCAGTGCTACTGTATATGATCTATGTTTTTTAATTGTAAAAAATGAAACACATTAAGAGACTCAAAAGTTGATTAAAATAATACAATACAACCTAAATGACTGTATTTATTAATTAAATCTGGCCCCAAGATCATAAACTGAGAACAGACTTAAGTCTAATATTTGATTTTTAATATCTTAAATTTCATCCAATATATATTAGCTTAAAATTTTGCAATTGTGCAAAACACGTCAATTCAAACATATGATGAAAATTTTATTTTATTATGAAAATCATTTCCAAAGTTATATTGATTTGAAATTTTTACTAAAGTCTGTTCTTAGTTTATGGTCTTGGGGCCTGGATAAAACTTACAATGAAATTAATTATATGAGAGAAGTTATTAACTGCTTTTGTTCGAACACTGTGGAATCATCCTTATTCATTAGCACCTATGTTGATAGATTTTGTGGGTTGTCCTCTCCCACAAACTTGTATTTCCAGGAAATGGAATATCTTGATTGCTTAGCAACATTGATGGATGTCCATAAATATGATCCCATAGTGTCTTCCATAAGATAATCCTTAACATTCGTCAATTTATTCAAGGTCTCACCCTTATCACCTTATCTTTCAGATAAGGTGTACATCAGTATGGCTAAATGTGGCTATTCTTCCTCCTAGAGACTTTTTAAAATTGTTTACTCCTAGATAAAGGGTTGCAAACTATTAATTTGCTTGATTATGATGATTATCTTGCCTTTCTCAATAAAGATGAAATACTGTAAACCATCTTTTATTCGCAAGGACTTTATTTCAAGATTTACCGTGAGTAAACTGGTTTGCGACGATTAATTTTTGTGTTCAAACCTTTTTTGGATCTGTTGTTAATAGACACAGAGCTTTTAAGGACTGGTTTGCGGCGAGAAATATTCGCAATAACGAGGCTCCTGCAAACCACGCGGAAATTTTAGCAAGCGAATAAAAGTTGGTTTACAGTAAATAGATCGACCTCATTCTTGATGCAGATGATCCATTAAGACAAGAGCTACAGAACTAACTCTTTGGTAAAGATTTGGACAAGCAAACCAGATTCAAAAATACCCCGGTAATTTAAACTTCCAAGTGTTACCCAAAGCAAGCAACAAGAAAGTGTAAATCAAACTAATTTTTTTTATACAATACATGAATTTGCATTGCTGGTTTGCTTGTCCAAATACTCAACCAGAGTTAAAGTTCTGCAGTTAAAACCTCCGTAAACATTTCTCCCTTACATATAAGAAAGCAAATTCTATTGGATGAGACATAAATACACAATATTTAAAGAAAGTTGGGGGGTTTCCAGTTAAGATCCTTACCTGACTACAAGATTACTACAACTTCAACTTTTTAAATAATTTATTCTTAAATACCAGAAGTCTCTGTCGAGACTGAAGCTCTACTGGTTTGTACTTATAGCAAAAGAAGAGAAAAGTACTTACTAGGCAGTTGGGAATTGAAACTTTTCAACAGCAATTAATAGAAAAATGATCCTTGATTAAGTCTCTTTATGTTTTAGTGTAGTCTACTTGCATGCCACATTACATTATAATCAGACCAAAACTGTATTTGGAGTAGCATTTTGAGAGTACATGTATTAAACAGAAATTTCTATTTTTAGTAACCGTGGCAACACCGTTCATTGAGGTGAAAAACTATACACAGAATTATGTACCTTAGTGTAGTCTACTTGTGTGCCAAGTTATATTGAAATCAGACCAAAACTGTAGGAGGTGTAGCATTTTGAAATAATTTCACAGAAATTTCTATTTTTAGTAACCACAGCAACACCGTTCATCGAAATCAAAAACTGATACACAGAATTATGTATCTTAGTGTAGTCTACTTGTGTGCCAAGTTACATTGAAATCAGAATAAAACTGTATTTGGAGTAGCATTTTGAGAGTACATGTATTAAACAGAAATTTCTATTTTTAGTAACTGTGGCAACACCGTTCATTGAGGTGAAAAACTACACATAGAATTATGTACCTAAGTGTAGTCTACTTGTGTGCCAAGTTATATTGAAATCAGACCAAAACTGAAGGAGGAGTAGCATTTTGAAAGAATTTCACAGAAATTTCTATTTTTAGTAACCATGGCAACACCGTTCATCGAAATCAAAAACCGATACATAGAATTATGTATCTTAGTGTAGTCTACTTGTGTGCCAAGTTAAATTGAAATCAGACCAAAACTGTATTTGGAGTAGCATTTTGAAAGAATTTCACAGAAATTTATATTTTTAGTAACCACGGCAACACCGTTCATCAAAATCAAAAACCGATACACAGAATTATGTATCTTAGTGTAGTCTACTTGTGTGCCAAGTTATATTGAAATCAGACCAAAACTGTAGGAGGAGTAGCATTTTGAAAGAATTTCACAGAAATTTCTATTTTTAGTAACCACAGCAACACCGTTCATCGAAATCAAAAACCGATACACAGAATTATGTATCTTAGTGTAGTCTACTTGTGTGCCAAGTTATACTGAAATCAGACCAAAACTGTAGGAGGAGTAGCATTTTGAAAGAATTTCACAGAAATTTCTATTTTTAGTAACCACGGCAACACCGTTCATCGAAATCAAAAACCGATACACAGAATTATGTATCTTAGTGTAGTCTACTTGTGTGCCAAGTTAAATTGAAATCAGACCAAAACTGTAGGAGGAGTAGCATTTTGAAAGAATTTCACAGAAATTTATATTTTTAGTAACCACGGCAACACCGTTCATCAAAATAAAAAACCGATACACAGAATTATGTATCTTAGTGTAGTCTACTTGTGTGCCAAGTTATATTGAAATCAGACCAAAACTGTAGGAGGAGTAGCATTTTGAAAGAATTTCACAGAAATTTCTATTTTTAGTAACCACAGCAACAACGTTCATCGAAATCAAAAACCGATACACAGAATTATGTATCTTTGTGTAGTCTACTTGTGTGCCAAGTTATACTGAAATCAAACAAAAACTGTAGGAGAAGTAGCATTTTGAAAGAATTTCACAGAAATTTCTATTTTTAGTAACCACGGCAACACCGTTCATCGAAATCAAAAACCGATACACAGAATTATGTATCTTAGTGTAGTCTACTTGTGTGCCAAGTTAAATTGAAATCAGACCAAAACTGTAGGAGGAGTAGCATTTTGAAAAATTGTTTACAGACGGACAGACAGACAGACGGACTATCGCATCAGCTCTTCTGGTCTCTTATTATAAATTATACAGTCAAAACTGCCATAGCGACCCACTGTATTAAGCGACCCACTGTCACATGTGACCGTAAAAATTCCCCCAACGTTTCCCCCTATATATTCTACCTGTATTAAACGACCACCTGTCTAATGCGACCAACGACCGTGATTTTCCTGACCATTTTTAGTCATTCCTAGCAATTTTACCTGAATTTAACGACTACATAATTTCCGATTCCTACTTTCGATTTCGGTCGAGCATGCTTTTTTTTCGGTTCAAAACAACTACAGACACGTTTTTACTTCATTTAATAATTATATAATGCAAGTTTTACGAATAAAACAACATTTTAAAATGAATATTTTACTTACACTTTGATATTTATTGAATAAACATAAAAATCTAAAGCATAAACATCACGTTTTTCTGTCCAGTGATCGAGCGCCATTTTGAAAATAGACGTACATTGTACGAGGTCGATCCCGATATCATTTCATGCTATAAGTGCCAAATGGACATTCAGCTTTAAAACCTGTCTGTTTAACTTTAATTAACAAGTAAATAAATCATAGATGTTTATTTAAGTGCATTGTGTCACCAATGGGTATGTAAACACAAGCTAGCTAGCACCCACACCATGTGATAATTGCAGTGATTAAAATACTTGGCCACAAACAGGCAATTAGACACGGTAGTTCAGTAATAAAAAAAAATTAACTAGGTAAAATAAATATTTCAGTCATAAACATAATTTAATTTGATACCAAGTGCATAACAAAAATCAAGGTACAGTTTATATTCCTAGTAATATGCAAAACATACAAAGTTATATATAGACAACCATTTTTAAAAAATATTATTATTAAGGGGAAAAACGTTGCAACTTGTTTATACTGTATGAAAAAATATTAATATTTTCAGATGTTCACAATATTTCCCAATATTCAAATGACTCAAGTGCGGATCAAGAAATTTTTATTTCTTAACAGGACAATTGTAAAAGCATTTTAGAGTTGAGCAGTACCTTTTAAAAAGTGGAATTAAACATAGGTGTTGTAAAATACATTCAACATACATGTGATATTTCCAGCATTGTATATTTGAACACTGCGGAAAATAAGCAACCTGTATTAAGAGACCACCTGTCATATGTGACCTTTTTTCCTTTCTCCGTTGGAAGGTCTCTTAATACAGGTTTGACTGTAATTATAAATTATAAATGCTATATTAATTTGAGAGTACACGTAGAACAAGGTGTATTGTTATACCTTTAAAAAAATTTTCTTATACAAATCTATACATAAAAAAGTCGAACATTTCTAATGTTCTGCTGAGCAGGCATAAAAAAAATCAATGTTGGACCGGTCGATGAGATGTACCGCTTACTTCACAGAATGGAGGGAGCTTAACCTCATTTTCATATGTTGATGTTTAACAGATGGACCTGATGTTACATCATGGAAGACAGTACGAAATACATATTTGTCAAAAAAAATAAAATAAAATGAAAGGTATCACAAAACATTTATTGACTGAGTTCGAGGGCAAAATGTGCTTTGTTAGACCCTCGAACCAAACTGTCTGCCTTCGGCCTTCGTCAATTCAAACATATGATGAAATTTTTATTTTATTATGAAAATCATTTCCAAAGTTATATTGATTTGAAATTTTTACTAAAGTCTGTTCTTAGTTTATGGTCTTGGGGCCTGGATAAAACTTACAATGAAATTAATTATATGAGAGAAGTTGTTAACTGCTTTTGTTCGAACACTGTGGAATCATCCTTGTTCATTAGCGCCTATGTTGATAGATTTTGTGGGTTGTCCTCTCCCACAAACTTGTATTTCCAGGAAATGGAATATCTTGATTGCTTAGC